TCGGTGGGGAGGACGGTTTTGGTGGGTGGTGGGGGGGGGGGGGGGGGGGTCTGAGGATTCAGTGAGATGATACACAGGACTTGTCAGTGAGGCAACTGTAATAGCCCTGGATGGAAATTTGTACAAGCCTGCTTGGCTTTCCAGAGGGAAAACTGAGGCTCAGGGAGATGGAGTAGGGACACCCCAACCTAGCAATGCCAGAGCCCTGGGTGAGGCTGGGGAGTGTTCGGTTGCCTGCTGAGCTGCCCCTCACCCCCCCTCCTCCAGGACTGCCTGGCCACTGAGAAGTGCTGCACCAACGTGTGTGGGCTGCAGAGCTGTGTGGCTGCCCGATTCCCTGAGGGTGGCCTGGCCACACCTGCACTGGTGGCTTCGTGCGAGGGCTTCTCATGCCCACAGCAGGGCTCAGACTGCGACATCTGGGATGGGCAGCCTGTGTGCCGCTGCCGTGACCGTTGTGAGAAGGAACCCAGCTTCACCTGTGCCTCAGATGGCCTCACCTACTATAATCGCTGCTACATGGACGCAGAGGCCTGTCTGCGTGGTCTCCGCCTGCACGTCGTGCCCTGCAAACACATTCTCACCTGGCCACCCAGCAGCCCAGGGCCACCTGAGACCACTGCCCGCCCGACACCCGGGGACACCCCAGTGCCACCTGCCCTCTACAGCAGCCCTTCCCCACAGGTGGTGTATGTGGGGGGCACCGCCAGCCTCCACTGCGATGTCAGTGGCCGCCCGCCACCCGCTGTGACCTGGGAGAAGCAGAGTGAGCAGCGGGAGAACCTAATCATGCGGCCAGACCAGATGTATGGCAATGTGGTGGTCACCAGCATTGGGCAGCTGGTGCTTTACAATGCCCGGCCTGAGGATGCCGGCCTCTATACCTGCACTGCACGCAACACTGCTGGCCTGCTGCGGGCTGACTTCCCACTCTCTGTGGTCCAGCGGGATCCAGCCAGGGACAGTGCCCCCAGCGCCCCTGCGGAGTGCCTGCCCCAAGCACAGGCCTGTGCCAGCCCCCTCTCCAGCCATGTCCTCTGGCACTTTGACCCACAGCGGGGTGGTTGCATGACCTTCCAAGTTGGCAGCTGTGATGGAGGCACCCAGGGCTTTGAGACCTATGAGGAGTGCCAGCAAGCCTGTGCCCGCGGGCCAGGGGATAACTGTGTGCTGCCAGCCGTGCAGGGCCCCTGCCAAGGCTGGGAGCCACGCTGGGCCTATAGCCCACTGCTACAGCAGTGCCACCCCTTCGTGTATGGTGGCTGTGAAGGCAACAGCAACAACTTCGAGAGCCAAGAGAGCTGTGAGGATGCCTGCCCTGTGCCGCGCATGCCACCCTGCCGGGCCTGCCGCCTCAGGAGCAAGCTGGCGCTGAGCTTGTGCCGCAGTGACTTTGCTATTGTAGGGCGACTCACAGAAGTGCTAGAGGAGTCGGAGGCTGGTGGCGGCAGCATTGCCCGTGTGGCCCTAGACGATGTGCTCAAAGATGACAAGATGGGCCTCAGGTTCTTGGGCACCAAGTACCTGGAGGTGACACTGAGTGGCATGGACTGGGCCTGCCCCTGCCCCAATGTGACAGCAGGTGATGGCCCGCTGGTCATTATGGGTGAAGTACGAGACGGTGTGGCTGTCCTGGATGCTGGCAGCTATGTCCGTATCGCCAGCGAGAAGCGCATCAAGAAGATCTCAGAGCTGCTGGAGAAGAGGGCCTGCGAGCTGCTCAACCGCTTCCAGGACTAGCCCCACCTACCTAGAGCACTGCCTGCCCCTGTCCTCCAGTCCTCCCAGTCCCCGCCCCCCAATAAAAGCATTTCCCAGGAGGGACATCATGGCCTGCTGGTGCTGAGCCTCCCAGGGTGACCACCCTTCCCTTCCCCCATCCAACCTGTGATCCAGCTGGGTCCTGCCACCACACTGGTGTTTAGGCTCTAGTCCAGTGATGGCGAACCTTTTGAGCTCAGCGTGTCAGCAGTTTGAAAAACCCTAACTTAACTCTGGTGCTGTGTCACATATAGAAATTTTTTGATATTTGCAACCATAGTAAAACAAAGATTTATATATTTAAATGCCATTTAACAAAGAAAAATCAACCAAAAAAATGAGTTCGCGTGTCACCTATGACACGCGTGTCACCTATGACACGCATGTCATAGGTTCGCCATCACTGCTCTAGTCCAAGGTCACCATGGAGCACCAGTTCCCACCTGGGGAGCCTCCTGTTTCCCTCCAAGAGCACAAGCCAGGACTAGGTCCAGGGGTGGGTGCCACCTCTGGTGGCAGGACGGCCATGCAGTCAGTTCAGTCCTGCCTCAGCAGTCCGAGTTTTCTCCCTTCTCTGCCGTGCAAGTGGAACAGCAGGGTCTAGGACGTCCATAAGCCCTGACCCCATAGGCCAGACCTCTCCTGCCCCCAGGAATGGAGCCCTTGGAGACAGCTTGCACATCCAGCACCACCTAGGGTGCTCCCAGGAAGAGGCATAGTGGACACCAGCAATAGGATAGCAGGAAACACTTTATTCCCAGGCTCTCAGCAGCCCTGTGGCCACTGACCAAGAGCCCCCAGAATGGGCAAGGCCAGTCTGCATGGCCTGGTCCAGGGAGGCAGAGGCTGGCTATCTGGGTTTGTCCCAGAGGGGGCCTCTCTGGTGACATAGGCATGCAGGAAGAAGGGTTACTCTTTCCGGAAAATCAGGCATTTGTTGTTGGCTGGCATATCCACCTAGGAGAGATGCTTTGGCTGAAGAAGCTGCCCAGGGAGGCCACCCAGACCCCCAGGCCCTCCCACCTACCATCTTCTCCAAAAGAAGACCGCTGGCCTGGCCCAGGTCCTCCAAGAAGGCCGTGTCCCGCAGCCCCCACTCTGGGTTCCTGCAGGGGGAAAAGAGGTAGAGTTGGGAGTCACCCAGCTAACCTGCCTTCCCAAGTAGGCCCACGCACCCCCCCAGCTCTAACCTGCATCTGAGCGACAGGTCAAAGTCCACATTGCTCTGGGGAGAGATCTTCCCGTTGACAGCGTAGGGCTGTGGAGACAGAGGGACACAGGGTCAGCCACTGGGCAGACTTGCAGGCTGCGCCTGGAGGATGAAAAGGACACTATGCTCCCTGCTCCCATGAGCCGCCCTAGGGGGTGTAGGGAGACAGAGGGGAAGGTCTGGGCCTGTTTCAATGGTGGCAGGTAGTGGGGGAGAGGGCAAAGGAAAATACTGAGACGGGAGGGAAGGAGACTAGAAAAGAGGGGACGGCTGAGGCTGGTTGGGATCATAGAGTCAGGGGAGTTCCATCTCGTGCAGGGGCACTCACCCCATAGGTGATGAGCAGCGCCTTGGGCTTGAGCAGGTGTCCTGCTGCTCTGAAGAGCCCCTAGGGAGGGGAGAGGCAGGATGGCAGTGAGTAACTTTACCCAGGCCTCCAAAAGAGCTCTGGGCTGGGGGCTGGAGACTCAACCTGACCTCCCCAGGCCTCAGTGCCTTATGAAATGGGGCAAACCTGGCACCCAATGCAGGGGGAAGGGTGCCCCCTGGCGCAGGTACTGGTCCTTGGGTGGCTCGCTTCAGCTCCCACAGACCTTGGTGCAGTTCAGGGGGCTGATGTGGATCATGTTGATGCAGAGCAGCAGGTCCAGCGACTGCGGCTGGATCCCGCCCCATTTCTCCCAATCCCAGGTCACGTCCAGGTACAGCGGAGCCTTCACGTTGGACAATCCCTGGCCTTGAGTGGTGGCCGAGATGCTGTCGGAGGGGCAGCCCGTGAGTGGGGGTGGCCTGTGCACCCGTTTCTGACGCCCGCTACAACCGCGTTCACAGCAGTCACGTGGGCTCGAGAAGCCGGGGGTGGGGGGGGGCGCCGAGGCCCACTTTAATCACCCGGGGCCCCGCCTTCCCCGCACCTGTCCAAGCAGCGCTGGTCCACGTCAGACGGCTGCCACTCCGCAAGGGGGAAAGCCCGCGCGAAGTGGGCCGCATGCTGGCCAGAGCCCGAGGCCACTTCCAGCACACGAATGCCGCGCTGAGCCGGGTCCACATACTGCCGCAGAACGCGCAGAATTGGTTCCTTGTTCCGCTCGGCGGCCGCTGCCAAAAGCATCACGGCGCCACAGCTAGTCCGTCCAGAGCGGTAGCACGGCCGCTGCAAGGCCCGCCGGGAGTTGTAGTCAGGCCGTCGCGAAGCCCGTCCCCACGGACTACAGTTCCCAGGAGGACGCGTATAGCAGTTTAAAGGGCCCGCTTCATCTGGAGGCGCGTAGGGGGCGGCTACCCCTGCGGAGCATCGGGCGGAGAGTTTGGGTCGCTGGTGTGTAGGTGCTCTTCAGCTCAGCACTCTGTCGCCATGGCTGCCCTAACATTTTCATAGTTCTTGTGACTCTGAAATGGTCTCGTTCGTGCTTGCACCGAAATGGATGGTTACCCCATGCTTCCGGTTTTTTCTCGTCTTGAAATTTCTGCTGTCACGGACAGCAAGTTGAGATGAGAAAAAAAACAAACTAAAAAGTTTACGTGCGCCGCCCGGGAATCGAACCCGGGTCGCAAGAATGGGAATCTTGCATGATACCACTACACCAGCGGCGCTTGTTGGGTTCCTTGTGGCTCGCGAGACCTAGGAGGTTGTGACGCAACCTTCCCCTGCTCAAATGTCATAATGCGTGCGCCGCGCCACCCCTGCGATCGCAGCCTGGGAGAGGCGCGTCTAGCGGCTGCAGGCGGCACCTAGGGTAGGAATGCCGGCTGC